ATTTTTGCTCAATATTCTCTTTGACTTGAATTCCCATAGACTTGACATATTTGATGAATTCTGAATGGCAAATAGCGTAAAGAGGCACCAATGAGTACAGCTTTGTATAAAATGATCTATGATAGTAAGCAATGGAGAGGAATACCTCCGCTCGTTTAATCTAATCCAAACGTATCCGTACAGTTTTCCTTCTAGATCATCATACGAAGTCACTCGGAGTAGAGCAGGGAGCCCTCCAGGTCTTGGTCGGTCTCTCAAATACTCGTAGCTTTTTGTTGATATTTTGCGATTTTTGAACAGCGCCTTGTAATGGTTCATAATACTTTTTTCCAAATTCCCTAGTCCTACAGTGTACCTGACTTGGTATGATCTGGGCTTCATTGTTTCTGGAAAACGTTTAATGTCGCAAATTTCGAAATTTCCCAATTGGCTGTACGTATAGGAGAAATCAGATCCGAATCCGACTTTCATCTGGGATTGAATTCCGCTGACGATGAGTGATTCTATCTCCCAATCAAAATCCATCTCATCAAGGATTCCCAACCCCTTCCAAATCTCGGGTTGGAAATTGTAATAGTACAATCTGATGATCGAAATCGCTACTTGAGGGGCTTCGCCTGGTTGTTGTACCGATGATAGAAATTTGATCAATAGTCTCTGTGTCGGTCCGAATTCTTTTCCTTTTTTGAACGCATTGAAATCGACGAAACTGATCATTCCAAGAATGGGCGCACAATGTTCAGGGTGGAAAGACTCCTTGAAGAGCCAATCTATCAGCTGCTGATGAGAATCGAATTCAGAATGATCCAACGTTGTTTTTCCTGCGTTCAATTTCCTCAAGACGGCAGTGTTGATGAAAAGGAACCATTGAATCAAGCCACCAAAGTGGTATGAGAGCTTTTGACTTCTTTGAATACTGTTTTGAGATGGTGCAAGAATGTTAGGATCATGCTCAATCCAGATCATATACGAGTCACTGTTTCGAGAAATCCTCGTTGGTAGTCCGGCTATTGGGTAGTCGTTTTTACGTGCTCCGGTGCTTGAATGTGTGAAGACGTGATGGAGGTGCTGGGTGAATTTGTATGTAAAGAGTTCCAAAAATTTATCATCCATAATGTTTCTTGGCAACTGAACTTTTTCAAGAGGAATCGACTGCTGGCTTGTGTGCTCATGTGTGCTCTCATCGCTGTTGGTATCTCGAGGAGACTCGCTGTAAATTTGTACCTGGTCGCGATCTACTGAGTCCTTCGACGAAACCCGATCATTCTCATTTAATTCTCCGGACAACTCGCCGTCGAAAGAAGGATGTGAACTACTAGGAGCTAATGGCCCTGATTCCCAAGAGGTGCGTAATTCTGAAGAGGAAGTCAGCTCCACTTTTCCGGGATTAAATGCCGTTTTGGGTGATTTCGAATTACTTACCTTGATTGGTAATGTGAGGCTCATGAAGTTGTTGAGGGCGCTGAATGGAATCTTGGCCGCTATGTGTATCAAGTTCAACTGGGGAATGCCTTTGAAATCCGGCTTGATTCAATTCTGAATGGGGGAGAACCGGTGGCACATGGACATTATCTAAGAGAGGAAGCCATTCTCGAGCATTGGTGTTTTCAAATTGAGGGGACTGCAATTGTTCGAAGAGCAAAGAGATTTTAAGGTCATCATCATTGGTGCCTATCTCATGATGTGACATAGATTCAAACATGGATTCTGGTGTTGGGTTCATTAAATGTTCTTTTTCGAAGGTTAAGCCGCTATTCAGTGGAACATGTTGGGATTGAGGTGGCAAGAATGAAGCGGGCGATGTTGGGGTCGGAAGGGAAGGCCAGCAAGTCGATAAAAGCATGGTGTCTGAGCCCTGGTTGATTGAGGCACAAGCAGATACAGCAGCTCAAATACATAGCATATAACAAGGCTTCCACACATTTTGTTACTCACCTTCAAATTCCATTGGGAGAACATCTCATCATGAGTGGCACTATGAGATGAAGTATGGGGGTCAAGTTGCGGTTGCGGAATGAGACCACTAACGTCATGTTCGACCGTCTTTTGCCTTTTGGCAACATCTGGAATCACATCGTTCTCAGCATTCACCGCGGTGCATAGGAAGATTACAAGGAGATCAGTCGATGAAAAGTGTGAAGTTGGACGTAGCAATATCTAGCCGGACCGTTGGTCTTACCTTGATAGTCACTATGAGCGTCGGGGTCCATCCACTCCGTGCCAATTCTCGTAGAGAACTGAGTTTCCGACGGACGCTTCACTCGGTTGAACACGTCGTGAAGATCCCCTTGGCTTGAATGGACATCGGAACTGATAAAATGACTTTCGCCCAGGCCATCAAGGGCCGGCTGAGCCCAGGAAACGGTGTAGATGAAAGCCAAATAACATGCCACTGATCGTTTGATAGATGAAGTGTTGATAATATTCGAAGGCATCTGCACAGAAAATACTCTGGACCACTGCAGACATCTGCAGAGCAGGGTAAGAGCGTATACTAATGACCAACAGCAGTAGTCTGCAGCCAGCTTGTGGAAGGTGTTTTAATCTAATGTAACTAAGTCCCTCCTTATTTGGAGGGGGGGTGGGAGGGTCGCTTCGCGACGAAGGGGGACTTAGCCAAGTTCGTGTTTTAATGCGAGTGGGGCATCCCTGGGTTGAATCTGTTTCAAGACTTGTGACCTTACATAGTCCGCAAGTTTGAACACCCGTTATCGTACATCCTTGCACACAGATTAGAGCAGCCTGCGTTGCATGTGTTGTCCGTTCTAGAAACTTAGAAGGAAGAAAGATATAGCCGATCCAAGCCAATCCAGGCTGAGGAAGGCTTGGGACTCTGGAGTCTTTGCCCAAGAAAAATCGCACATTTCCTGAGCCATATCGAAGTCTCTCAAGACTCAACATACACATAATTCTTGAATCCATCCTTATTTCCCCATCTGCCCTTTGACTATCCATTACTACAAATCCTCAACCCAAATTCAAGGCATCCTCAAAACCAAACACACGCAAAAAGTAAGCCAAATTTTGCTGTTTTTTTTTTTTTTGAAAAAAGAATCATTTTGATCCTTCAAGTTCTTCCCAATCAAAGCATTTTTGCAAAGGGTTGCAGTCCAATCTCAAAAACAAAAACAAAAAATCAACAATCGCCCAACGTCTCCCTCCATCTTGACACTCCGCATCTAATTGGATTGAATCCAGATGGAAACTTTGGGAAAACCTGCAGCCAAATTCTGCCACATCCGCACTAACACTACACTATTTTTCAGCAGAATTCTGCATGATATCCTGTGCTAAAACTACAGTTAGTGTAACTGGCTCATTGCTGCTGTAGTGTTAGTGTGGTGTAACATAGTGCGTTTCTGCTAAGCTTTAGCATAGTGCAGTGGAATTCTGCCATGTCCACACAAAAACTATGTGCACAGGCCCCCAAAATGTGCCCGCTACTCTGCACTGGTTAGCAGCATTTTGGCCCTGTAGTGTTCCATAGTGCAGCATTGCATAGCAAAAACCCACTAACATTTTGCTAACACTATGTGTTTTCTGCACAAAAAAAGCCACTACACTAACTTTATCAGACTTGGGGTACTTACTAGGGATACATCCAGTAGTATCTAAAGCCTGACAGAAGAATAAGACTGCACAGTTTTTGGAGAAAGAAGATAATTATTATCAGCTTCAAGCTTAGCACGTGTCAGCTCTGGTCTCTTATGTGACCAGGAGTTAATAGGGTATTGGGTCACACTATAGCCACAGAGGTGGAAAGTGGAAATGTCAGCTATGTGTATGAAACTTTGGTTCAATAATATAAAAGCCAAGTACTATCACTGTGCTGAAGGACTCAGGTTAAAGACCAAGATTACTCCTAGTCACCCTCAAAGTATTAAGTGGTCCAAACTTCCCACTTAAGAGGTTAAAAAGTCCACACTCCTCAGTTAATGACACTTGAATAATCAAGAGAGCACTGTAGGAGACAATAACAGAATATGTTATTGTAGAGTGTTTGGAAGCAATAATTAATATTGCAAGAAGTAGCTGGCAAGCACCTGAGCTGAAAGGCTACAGTCAGAGGTGGTGGTCTTGCAGCAACTACTTTCAAGGAATTAGTTAAGTTTTGAGTCTGAGATAACTCTCAGCTTAATAATAATTCCAGTAAGAAGGTAGGGTTGGATTGGATAAAAAGACTACTCTAAAAGTAGGTGGAGAATATTCACTGTACTCACTTAGTTTGTTGGGGGTGAATATGCTGAGGAACCAATCCTAGGCAGGAGAAGGCCTCCTTAAATATTCTAGAGGTCCCCTTGAGGCCCTCCTTAGAATATTCTAGAATCTCTCTTTGGTCTACCATGGTAGAGTTATTCCCCTGATGTAATGGGAATAATTCAAGGTATTTCAAATAATGTATATTCTATGTCCCATGACATCATGATGCATATTTATAGCCAATTACATCATGTGTCTACTTAAAATAGAATACTACTAGTAGAAAAGTGCCACACTCTAGACATGGTGTGGTAATTCTCTTTTCTACAAGTTTAATAATTTAATTATGCTTGTAGAATAAAATTTCTAAGGTTACCCTAAATGTATATTCAACCCTAATTTAATATACATTAATTTTATTCTATATTTTTGTATGTTTTATTCCTTTTGTCCTTCAAGGTTTTGAATATATACAAAGTCCTTGAAGGAGTAGGAAATTGGGGATACTTCCAGTGGGCAACCCCCTTTATAATCTTATGAAATATAGTCTTATTAAATAATATTATTACATATTATATTACATATTGAGTATTTAATATTCAATATTCATTTAGCAGTCTTTTGGATACTATGGAGTATCCCTAAGGCTGACAGGAAATAAACCTCACCTCAATGCTAGAAAGCAGAGAGGCTAGCTTCCTGGGTTAGAGGGGATGACAGTGGAATGAGCATCACTGCACCAAGCTTAGAGCAGATCAAAAGAGGCTCTCTTCTAGACTACAGTAGTGACTTAACTGTAGTCTAGGATATTATAATAAGGATAAATATAGAAGGTAAAGAGAAAAGAGAGAGTGTACTGCTAAAACCCCACTCACTAATATTAAGTAAGGTACACGGGTTTGTATGGCAATAATCTCTGGGGGAAGGAATCCTAGAGGGAAAGCCCTCCCCTTAAGTATTGCAAGGCAGGGTTCAGGCTGCCTGTTGGACCAGTGCAGTCCCCTTATTGTTACATTATTCCTTTGGGGGAAAGTGTCAAGATATTCAAACATGCAAATGTACATGTGTTGACTATCTCTCTTATATCAGAAAATAGAATTAAATATTTAGAATATCTCTCTTATTTCAGAAGATACACAAGAGAGATACACAAGAGAGATAAACAGGATGATAATCACTTGGATAAACACAATAGATAATTATCCTTTTCAATTTGGTTATTATTTTCATGAGAGAGGTACATTAATTATCCAGAGAGAGAGATAAATATGTAGAGAGGTAAATCATTATCAATTTAAAGAATAACATTGAATAAATACTTATTAATTCAAAGAATGCATATAATAATATTTATTATTATGTAACCTGGGGGGGTTACAATCTCATGTAGACACATGGACTAGTGTCTCAGTGTCTGACAGCACGGCTCAGAGTATGCTCAATGAGGCTTACACAAATTGTCCAGAAGCTTTACAGCTGGGGCAACCAACCTCTAAGCAGATTAGAGTTGGGAAGTTAACAATTCAAGTCAACAATTTGTTGAACTGGTTGTAAAGAGCTTGAGGATGTTGTGGGTGAATCTTGTAAGGGTTGTAATCAGTTTGTGAGATTGTGGGGATTCAGATAAGGTAGAAAGAAGGAACTATTGGTATAGGATTAATAGGCTAGGGCCTTGAGTCTAGCTAGTGAAAACCTATATGTGATTAAAGATGGCCCCGGCGCATCCAGATATCTGGCTGCTTTTTCCAGGAAAACTGCCATCTGCATCTGCTGGTAGGTATCCCCCCACCTTAGCGGGTATCTTTGGATACCCGCCCCTTAAAGCAAGGGCAGTTGGAGGGGGACTCCTGGGGGAGGCTGAAAATTGTTTTCTTTCCGGTCAAAAAGGTTGTGCCTCATTGGCCTTGAGACAGTACAGTCTCCAGGCCCAAGAGGAACCCCTCTCGGCCTTGAGACTGTACAAGGTCTCAAGGCTGAGAGGGTCTGTCTGATGAGTATCCCTGGGGATACCCGGATACCCGCCAAGATTTGGAGGAAAATTGGGCATCCAAAGCCAAATCCAAATCCTCTGGCGGGTATCCGCCAGCAGATAGGGGGTATCCACAATGGATACCCCAAGGCCATCTGTAAGATTAATGAGTGTTAAGCTGTTGGCTTGTCTGGTGATACTAATTTGTACTGGATGTAGCTAATGTCTGAGGAAAGGGAAAGGAAAGGAAAGGCCATCAGCTTCCTTAAATACTAGGAGGAGTCGCTGGCCAATTTGTGGTTATTTTATTTCTTGGGGTCAAGGAATAAAATGGAACTGGTAGATGTCTTGTTCAACAATTGGGGAGAGGAAGTGTCACAGAGTGTTGGTTCTTGCTGCGCCGCAGCTTTATTCAATAATATTTTTTATTCATTCATTCTATGTGCACCTGCGTGTTATCTCATTCTTACATCTTTATTTAGGGCATTAATAAAAAAACGCGGTTTTCCGCGTTTTGACGCGGTTTTGGCTGCGCGCAGCACCCGCGGTTTCCGCATTTAGACGCGGTTTTTTAATTAATTTTTTACGGCTTATTTTTCGAGTTTTTTTGAATTTTTGAAGTTGTTTCCTACACTATAAAAGGCGTAGAATTTAATGGTAAAAACCATTTTTCATAAAAATGAATTTTGATTATTAACTATTTTTTTTCACTCATTTCTCAATTAATTGTTTGCATACATGTATGTACCTTATTTTTTATGTTTTCTTAAAATTCTAAATTTATTTCCTAGGTTTTAATATGCGTAGAATATAATGGCGCAATCCATTTTTTTTAAAACTCAACGGTATACTTTTAATACTCAAATTACACCCATTTTTTCACTTAATTTTTTACAGCTTAAATTTCATCATTTTTTGACATTTTAAATTTATTTCCTACACTCTAAGACATGTAGAAAATTATGGTAACAACCATTTTTCCCCAAGTTGAAAACTATACCCTGAATGCTGCATTTGACATGTTTTTTTAATTAATTCATCACTTTTTCACCTAATTGTTTGCAGACATGTGTGTACCTTATTTTTTATGCTTTTTTGAAGTTTTAAAGTTGCTTTCTACATTTAAAAGTGTGTAGAATTTGATGGTAACATCCAATTTTCTTAAAACTCAATGGTTCATTCTGAATACTGTAATTAGTCATATTTTTCAATTGATTTTTAAGAGCTTAATTTTCATTATTTTTTGACATTTTAAATTTTTTTCCTACACTTTAAGACATGTTGAAAATGATGGTAACAATCACTTTGCATCAAAATAAAAACTGTATCTTGAATAATTCCTTTGACGGGTTTTTTTAATTAATTCTTACATGCTTAATTATCCTTATTTTTTGGAATTTGAAGTTCATTTCCTACACTTTGAAAGGTTTCAAAATTGCTGGCTTTATCCATTTTGAATTCAAATAAAATTTGTATACGGTACAAATTATGCAAGAAACGGGGTACACTCATGTATTAAGATTGAAGCTTGTATATTTATGGAAATTGGACTTCACCATTCAATTCTACACATCTTGAAATGTAGGAAATAAATTTAAAATTTAAAAAAATGATTGAAATTAAGCCAGTAAAAATTAATTCAAAAAACCATTAAAAAAAACCTGTCCAATGCAGTATTCATTGCCAATATTTTGCTTTTATGCAAAATGATTGTTACCATCATTTTGAAAATGTATTAAAGTGTGGGAAATAAATTTGAAATGTCAAAAAAGAATGAAAATTAGGCTCTAAAAATTTAAGTAGAAAAATGAGTGTAATTTGAGTATTAAAAGTGAACCATTGAGTTTTAAAAAAATTGGACTGTGCAATTAAATTCTGCACACATTAAAACCTAGGAAATAAATTTAAAATTTCAAAAAAACATGAAAAATAAGGTAAAAACATGTATGCATACAATTAATGGAAAAAATGAGTAGAAAAAAAAATTAATAATTAAAACTCATTTTTATGGAAAATGGGTTTCACCATTAAATTCTACGCGATTTGAAACCTAGGAAACAATTTTAAAAATTCAAAAAAACTCGAAAAATAAGCCGTAAAAAATTAATTAAAAAACCGCGTCTAAATGCGGAAACCGCGTGTGCTGCGCGCAGCCAAAACCGCGTCAAAACGCGGAAAAACCGCGTTTTTTTATTAATGCCCTTTATTTATTTTATTTATTTTAATATTTATGTTTTCTTCTTATGAGGGGGTTAAAACCTCTTAACCCCTGACAACAGTGGGTTGCTACGCTACACTACGCTATTTGACCACTAACTGTTAGTGTAGTGGCCTTTTTATTTCCTGGAAATTCTGTAGTGTTAGCTGACGCTAAAACCCACCACGCTAACTGTTAGTGTAGTGTAAATTTTTCTCTCAAGTTTTTTGGTAGTGTTAGCTTCAAATAATCTCAGCTAAACTAACAGTTAGTGTAACTTTTTTTGCGCTAACAAAATTTTGAACATCAGATAGTGTAACTGATTTGAAGCTAACATTTAGTGTAACTTATACCAAATTAATCTCCGCTACACTACACTACATGCCTAGTTACACTATGCTACGGTAGAAGTTACACTACACATGCAGTGTAGTATAAATCATCAATTAGAGAAATCGACATGTCAAGTGAGACTTTATGCTCTTGAAACCTCTTCCTCTGCTTTCTGTTTTCAATGGACAAGTTGTGTGAACTGTCCATATAACTGGTATGGCCAAGGTCCATAGTGACAATTTTAAATGTCCTATGATCACACACAATCCCTTAGAAAATGAACAGCACAAGATGTAGAGACAAACAAACAGAGGATGTGCCTGGTGAGATTTGAACTCACAACCTCAGCAATGCTGAGTCACATACCAGAGTGCTTCCTTTACCAACTAGCACAGCCCACAAGCGGGTGACGTAATTCAATTTTTTTCACTTCGTTTTGCAGGTGTGCAGTCACTGTGGAAGTGAAGAAATCCAAATTTTGTCACCTGCTTGCGGGCCATGTAGGCTACAGACCCTTGTGGTTGTAAGGTTAGTTGGGTGGTAATTGCCATGGTTCATGCCAACAGCTCCACCACACTCTGGTGATACATCATGGTTACACATCCACCCCCCCCCCCTTGCCACATGATGTGAAAGTGGAAATTGAACAAGTGTGGGAATGGAACCCAGTAAAGTATGATCTGAGGGGGAATTGAACCCATAATCTCAAGGTAGTCTGACAGGGGAATGTGGTCTTACAAGTAAGTGTTAAAAATTGGCAGGGGGCTAAAATTGAGTGGCCCCCATTACCAACTGAAAAAAAAAGATGATCAATTGAGGAGATCTGGATGTAGGCCCCCCAATCAGGCATTATCTTCAGGGTAGACTAATGCTATTCATGTAACTGCATAGTCAGTTGCACTAACAGTTTGTGTAACTTTTTGATCAGTTGCACTAACTTTTAGTGTAACTGAGGGAACCACTACACTAACTGTTAGTGTAACTCATCAAAACATTACACTGGTCTGTAGTGTAGTGGTTTCAACAACTAACACCACTACAATTGGGCTAACAAGGTTTTTGGTTAGTGTTAGTTGGACTTTTTTCAAGTCAGCTAACACTACACCAATTTTTTTTTTTCAAAAAATCTGTAGTGTTAGTGGGCCAAAATTTCTGCTAACAGTAAATTTTTTGTAGTGTAGCTTAAAAAGCTAACACTACGCTGCACTAACACTACGGTTAGTGTAACTGGCCCACTGTTGCCCCTGACAAACTTATTTTGGCGAAAAAATGTAGTGTAGCGGAGAGGCCCATTATTGATTGAATTTGTTTCCCACTTGGAAAGCTTTAATTTCTGAAGCCTTGAAAGTATAGAATGAATGAAAATTACGTATAAAAACAGAAACAGACACAGAAAAATGGATTTCCTTCCAAAAATATAAGTAATCTGCCATTTTTCTTGTTGAAAACAGTCCAAATTGGCCAAAAAATGTGTAGTGATTTTTTGATACAATACAATCGTATCATATCTGATTTTAGATATGATATGGAATACTGATTGTTTGAAGTTACAGAAAAAAGATACAACACAAAAGTATCTGCAGATACTGTATTGTATCTTTAACGTGGTTTGGTTGATATGGGTGGCTAAATTCCCAAGCGGACATAGCCAACCAATGCAGATGCTCTTACAGAAGCAGAAAAAAACACATTCCAGGTGAACTTTATTAATGATTGCACAATTCCCTGGCATGTAGTTACACACATTTTTGGATAGTTTCCTAATGAAAATTTCCTTGTGCATCTTGAGCACACTCAGCTATTTTTTCTTTTTTTCATGAAGCCCAAACACCTATTTTTCTAAACTGTTTGGCGCAAAAACATGCAAAAAAAAATCGATTGCGACACACGAGCATCTTCGTTTTGGGCACAAGCCTCTCCCGCACCTTGTGTGATGGACGGAGAGGCTGAGCAAGCCAGATTTCCAGCCAATCTTACTACTAAGATTCTTCCAAGGCTCGAGGTTTCAGCAGGGGGAAATCTTGAGTTTATCTTTTGGGGCTTGGTTAATCGACTCCCAAAAGTTGGAGAGTCGACTCCCAAACGCCCAAAACCCCCGAAATGCCCCCGTATCCCCAGAAGAGTAGGGAGTTGATTCCCCAAGCTGTCACGCGTTTTGGGAGTCAAATCCTCAAAAATTTTAAATAAAAAAAAACAAAACCCCCGGAGGGGGACGGAGTCGATGCCCCAAAACCCAGTGGGTTTTGGGGGTCGGCGAGCCAAAAAGGGCCCTCGATGGCCGGGATGATTCCTCCCGGCCGTCGAGGATGTACATGTACACCTTCGACGGCCGAGAGAAACCCTCCCGGCCGTCAAGGATGTACACCTTCGACGGCCGAGAGAAACGCTCCCGGCCGTCGAGGATGTACACCTTCGACGGCCGAGAGAAACACTCTCGGCCGTCGAGGAGGTACACTCTCAACGGCCGAGAGAGAACTCAAT